ATTGTAAAAAAAAAATCTAAAGATAATTAAAAAATTAAAAAATATAATTTCATACTATTTTCTAGTTGTTTATGAGACATTTTTTTATATAATTTTTATTATGTATGTTTATAGCTTTTTAGATTCGAATGTCAATTAAATTTTATAGATTTTATATAATTAAATATAATATTATAAGTTTCACATCTTAAATTAGTTAAAAGTTAACTAAAAATATGTCAAAAATTATAAATTATTAATTTTAAAAGGATTAAATTAATCTAAATTTAAAAATAAAAGATCAAAACAAACTTCAACATATTAAAAAAGTTAAAATAAATCTAAAAATAAGATAAAAGGAATAATAATAATAATAATAATAATAATAATTTAACTAACATATGTATGTAAATTAAATTATCCCTTTCACTTATGATTTTAGAATAACTCAGAACTCGATCTCTAACACGAGAGGTTTGACTCTGGTTTGTTTGCTCTTGCCTTTGTTATGGTGTTCTTGTTTAGTACAGAAATTTGACAAATATGAAAGCTCGACACAAGTCACGTTTGTAGAAAAGAAAGCAATTATTGTTGCAAACGTATAGTATATAACTCCAACATCTAGTCATGACAATTTAACTCGTACTCGTGGGTACCCGTCCCAACTTGCTCAATTTGGATGGAAAAAACCTGTGTTCATCAGGTTCGGGTTCGGGTTTTTCCTGATTGATAAAACTGGGGTTGAGAGCAGAATGGAGATATTAATACTCGCCTGCCCTTGCCCCCATACCCGCTCTCGCTCCCGCCCCGCTTAATAATATAATTAAAAAATTATATATATAAACCAAAATTAATAATAGTTATATATAAATATTTGTATTTTTTTTTTTTTTAGTAAGAGCTGCCCGTTACCATACCTGTTGGTTTCCTATCTATCGTAGTCTTCCCCAAACTTTATCGGGAATGTATATAGGCGATTTGCTTTTGATGCTAATATAGAGTTTTCATTTCCCACAAATAAATAAGTTGGTAAAATAAGTACTCCTATGTACTGTGTCCGATTAAGAGCATAATAATGAAGGGAAATGGTTAAAATAGAAAAATAATATAATAAAGAATAACTAAGTAGTAGAAATTGCTAATATAATTAAAAAATTATTTTTATATATATATAAACCAAAATTATAAATATTTATATGTAAAAATTTATATTATTTTACTTTACTTTTATTTTTTTAAAATTTGTTCATATTTATTTAAAAGAAAAAAAATAAGAACAGGAGCGGGGCGGGGCAGGAAAATCTGAACCCCGCGAAGGGCGGAGATGGGTACCCAATTTTATCCCTAGCGAATATCAAGGGCGGGGGTAGGGACAGTTTAAATTTGCAGGGACGGGACAGGGAACGTAAAACCTGTCCCCGCCCCGCCCCATTGCCATGCCAATATCTATTATATATTACAAAAGAATTTTTTTAATCAGGAACACCACATTTATTCTTTTATTAAAAATATTACAAAATTATTTTATTATTTTAATACATACAAATATAATTATAGTAATTAGGAGATTACGAAGATAATATATTTTTTATTTAAAATAATTAAGTTTTTAATATATTTTTAGTTTTTTACAATGTATGAGTTTTGATTTCGCTTTTTGTTAAAAGATTTTTGTTTTATTCTTATAAAATTTGTAAACAATTTTTTCTTCCTTGTAAAATATTTTAAAATGAGTAAATTCTACTATTGGTTCTTTTAAAATATTTTTCTCTTAATTTTCATCTCTCTAAAATATAAAATTATTAATTTTTTATCTTTAATGATGATTTTAAAGTAGATAAATAATTTTTATTTTAAAGACTCATAAAAAATTTAGTAAGTGTCGGATACTAATACAGTATCATTAACAATTATATATGAATAACATTCGATATTCTCACTTAACCTTATATAAAAACAAATAAATAGTTTAAAATGATTGTATAATAACAAAGACTAAAAAATATAATAGTTAAAAATTTTATAAGGATGAAAAATAATTTTTTTAAAATAACTAAAATCAAAACTTACTCTTTTTACAAAAATTTTAAATCATATTTAAACTAATAATTAATGTATGATTGATGCATACATTTCAATAATATTTTAATTAAGATAATTATATTATTTTATATATGAGAATAATTTTGATATATGGGAAATGTTAATATACTCCCACCTATTTTTTAGTGGGAGTATGTTAGCAACCTACACAAAAAATTTAGGACAAGAAAATCACTCATTTCTTTTGATTTAGTTAATTTGTACAAAGGATATTATAGTAATTTAATTTAATTTTAAAAGAAAATAAAATATTTTCTCTCTCTTATTAACTTCATTCTTAAATTCATTTCTTTTTTTTATTAATTAATTTTTTATTTTTTCATAGAGAGAGCAGAGACATCATGAGAGATGAGAGAAATGAGTTAAAGAATGAATTTAATAGGAGAAAGATAAATAAGTTAGAGAAAGAATTTAATAGGAAAGAGAAATGGGTTGGAGAAAGAATTTAATAGGAGAGAGAAATGACTTAGAGAATGAAGTTAATAAGAGAGAAAATATTTTAATTTCATTTAAAATTAAATTAAATTACTATAATATCCTTTATACAAATTAACCAAATCAAAAGAATTAGGTGGTTTTTTTGTCCTAAAATTTTAGTGTAGATTGCTAACATACTCCAACTAAAAAATAAGTGGGAGTATATTAACATTCCCCATATATTTAAATATAAATATATATATATATATATATATATTTAAAAGAAGGTGAATGTACTATAGTATTACTATACAAGGTGAGATCCTAACTAAATTAACTTCCCACTATACATCAATCATCATATGCAATACATAAAAAAAAAATAATAATAAATAAATAAAAAACTATTATTAAAAGTGAAAAGTAACAAAGCGACGGTGTCAAATCTAGCCCATAACGAAATTAGAGGAACCTGATTCATCATTTGAGTCAGAATTAGAGTCAACAAAAAGGGACTAATCCTTGTGTTTGGCAGCAAAACAAGGATCGGAATCCAGTCTAGGGGCCACAACATCAAAGTGCTTGCCCCAAGTCTGCCTAACAGGTTCTAAAACAGCTACTTTGGCAATTCCCAAAGAAATTGAAGTACCATAAGATTGAATATTATTTTTTTTTTAAGAAAATGAACTTAATTCATTTCATTAATAATAAGAGTAGCAATACATAGAGGAATAAAATCAAAAGAGTGGTGACTAGCATAAGATCTTGACACCCTTGCTAAAGTGTGGGGGACACGATTAGCTTGTCTCCTAATAAACCTAACCTTATGGTTTTGATGGGAACGTAACAGGGATCTACATTGATTTATAATAATCTCATATTCAAAGTGAAGAACGTATGTGTTGTTTAGATGATCCGCTACTTGCATACAGTCAGTTTCCACACAGACATTTTCATATGGAGAATGAATGAGGTATTGGAGTGCTTCCAACGTAGCTCCTGCTTCTACTTCCTAAGGTGGTGATTGAATTTTTAATCAATGTATTGTGCTGGAATTAAAATTTATGAATTTCAAATTTTGTAAATATGGAAAGATTTGACATAGTATCGAGATAATTCAGAATTGATAAAATTCATGAATTGAAGAGAATTATTCATCAATTTTTATTGATTTTTTTCTTCTATCTATTAATTGATTTTGCTTTTAAATTTAAATTTAATTGAATTAAATATAATCTAATCTAAAATTTAAAATATCTTAAATTGCATTAATGTTAAGAAGATAATTTAAGAGAATTAAGTCACCAAATCTTAAAATTAAATCATCAAATGACCTAAATCAGTGGAATCGACACAATCATGGACACTTAACAAAATTAACGAAACAATTGCAACAAACAAATCTTGTAGGAAAAATTAAGATATACAAGATTAATCAATATGGGAAATCAACAAAATTAATAACGGTTATAAGGAAGATTAAATAAGGAAATTCACTTAAATATTTGTCTTATGCTATTCTATATATATTACATTACTTTATCAATTTTAGTATCATCACTCTTTCTATAACTATCTTTCCTATACGAGTGAATCATGTTAATTCAAGTAAGAAAAAGAAGAAGGTTCATTAACCAAAAATCATTTAGCATCTTAGAAACATTCATTCAAGCTTTGAATGTTTGAGGTGAAAAGATGTAACGATCAATTGTAAATGCTATTTATATCTTTGATTCCATGGACTTGGGTCACAAAAATAACACAAAGAACAATGTTAGAATTTTAAGATCAAATGAAGATGATGTTTATATCTTTGATTTAGTGTTGGGTCGCAACCACAATAATGGTGGTGTTTTAGGAGTGAATCCTGCAAATCAACGCTCTATTAGAAATCTTGAAGTTGTTACAATTCAAGAAAAAGTAGACAAATCTACAAATTCACCATCTTGTTCCATATGTCTAGGGGTTCTTTCAAATGGATCAAAAGCAATTCGCAAGCCCCAACCATGTTTTCATATCTTTCATCAACATTGCATTGTAAAGTGTCTTAACTGTCATGGCACATGTCTTTTGTGTCATAGGAATATTTAGTTACAAAATTATCCAATTATTATATGTTGTTCTTTTTGGGTTGGGCATGTGGTTATGTTTTATGTCAGTGTCCATCCTTTTAGTCATTTTGTAATCTATTTTATTTGTGGTAATTACAATGATGGTAACAAGGTTCGAGCTTATTTTGTATATATTACACCAATATTCACTAGGGAGACCTTAGTAGTTTGAGGATAAAATTGAACTATAATACATTCACTACTACAAAATGAATAAAATAAGTGCTTAATCTAAGACGATTTACTAAAAAATGATGTAGAATAAGATGTGGTGGCATTTTTATAAATAAAAGGAACATTATCTATGACGGTTTAGTGAATATCCCGCCTACACAAATATATCTACGACGGTTTTTTATAAAACTGACTTAGATATTAAGTGATCTACAACGGTTTTTGTGTAAAACCGACTTAGATGGAGACCCAAAATTCGCGCCCCCTCTCAATTCATGCGCGCTGTTCAGTCTCCCAGCCACAACCCTGGTTCTCTCTCTGTTCTCGAAAGCTCTCAACCTAAGTCTCAACGACGAAGTCGATTTCGGCGAGCACAGCCTCAACGACGACAAGGTATTTCCTCTTTCTCTTCTCTCTTCATTCTCTCATATTTGGAGCAACCATTACCAAGTTTAATCTTCTCTCTTCATTCTCTCATTTCCCTCTGTCGACGTAGTTTCGAGATTTTTCTGGTTAATGTTGGGTGAGCTTTCTGGCTGGTGCTGAACTCGAAGCCGCTTTTTCCTGTTTCTCCATTTGCTTGCTAGATCCAAATAGAATGATTTATTGGGAGAAACGAGCCACACACGGTTCATCTTTTCTTGTCTCCCACGCATTTCTAATTGGTAACTTGACGTTCTAGTATTAAGATCAATCGTGTTGACTGAATTTCATTATCCCAAGGTATTGTTCTTTTTTGCTTTATGACTCTAATTGGATTTCGAAGCTTTGGCGCAATAAGCAGTCAGATGTTATTCTACTGTTTTTGAGTGCTCGTACCATTATCCAAGCTTATCTAACCAGGAATTTTTTGCTTAACCTGATACAGGTATTGAAATAGCCATACCTTCTGTAATCAATAACAACTTATTTTAAATAGTAGAATTATGTTGTTTAAAGTTGTTGTAACCAGGGATCCATCTATGAGATTTTCTTTTTGAAAAGTTTAACATAAAGTTGTGCGTAGGGGTATGGGTAATCAACTTTAATCATACGTCTAGTCTTGTGGAGGTTCATGGCTTTTATCACCTCCTACTGTTAGGTGCTTGCTTGCCTTTGTGATGCTCAATCAAGTCTATATAGATAAGAATCTTGGGAAAACCACACCAAAAAAGCTAATTCTTTAATGTTGCAATTTTGTTAATTCTTTAATTATTTTTCTTTAAACACAAGTAAAGATTATTTTTTTTTGACATAGCCTTTAGTGGTTTATATATCTGTGTTTATTCATCTGTTAATTTTTATTTTCCATTTTTGTTTTGTGGAAGTTGTGTTGTGTTATTTATTATTTATATTTTTTGTGCTGTTTTCCTTTATTTTTTTTTCTTGGTGAATATTAGTTGAGTGTTTATCAATAAATAAAGGACATTCTTCAGTGGATGGTTATGCCCCAATATAGCTGAAGCAGAGTGGAATTTGTGTGTAATTCCTTTTTAAAGACTAAGTAGGTTTGACTTGGGCATTATTATAGTTTTGACTCTTGACACATCCATGTTTGTATTTGTACCTTGATACCAGCCTCAAATATTTCAAAAGATGCGAGCTGATCTGGCTTCTATGTGAAGTCCTACTAGCAGAACAGGAAACTTGAGGAGATTCTCTATAAAAGGCAACTTGATACCTTTGAACGAGAATGCTTCAAATTCTTTCTACAATGAATCATTGACATTCAATGAGGACGTAAGTATGAAGGTATGCATCATGAGAATTAAATTCTGTTGTATGGTTGCCTTTGGTAGTTTCTATCTCGGTTATGCCGACGCTTAGTGACAATTTACACCAAAATCCTTGTTTTATGCCTTGCTGTGTGATATCAATGAGCAAAAAATAATTCAATAATTATGCTATTTTTTTAATATATATTTTTGTCTTTTTACATGAAATTCTTAATTTATTCTACTAAAATTTTGAAGCAAAATGATTGAGGAACTGGGGGAAGGCATATGAAGTATGAACTATGAAGTGATCCTATCTTGACTTATTCTTAATATCCTGATTGCAGAAGCAAAAATTAATCTTTAAATTAGAAGGTTACTCAACATATTTGTTTAAGTCCTTACCATTAAATATATATGGTTCGAAGTATTTTATGTTTGCAGAAAAATATAAAGATAACTTTAGGTGGCGATCTGAAGTGTCTCTGGTTAAACCCTTGGCCTGTTTTCTCCAATGCTTATGATTGATGGTTTTGAGTAATTACTATTCATTGCTTCAAAAAGTCTTGGGAAAGGATCTGACAAATTTTTCATTGTAATTACATTACCTCTTTTATTTATTTATTTTATATATTTTTTACTTTCCAGGATCTTTTGGAAGCTGTAGTCCCATTTGATATATTGTTGGATCGGAGAAAATGGGCATCATTGGTAATTTGTGATGAAGCACTTGAGTGAGAATTGATTATATCAGCTTCGTATGTTCTTTTTGACCATTATCATTTACCACTTTTACATTCTGGTATTGTCCATGACAAATGCATGCTGAACTATATTTTCGTGTTTTATGCAAAACTGTCAACTGCTGAATACTATAATGCTATGGTGTAATCAATTTTATAGTTCTTAAAGGTTTCTTGTGTTTTTGCAGTTATGTTCCGGGAATGGAAATTACATTATCAAGCCGATTAAAAAGCCTGTATAGTTTATACATAAAGGTATTGGTGAATTCATGTTTGACCTTTGAAATAAGAATGTATTTTCGTGTGTTTCAGCTAAATTCACTCTGCAATTGAGTATAACTGGCACATTATATGAATGGTCAGGATAGTTTGATTCTAGCATAAAATTTTCTGGTTTTATTATGCAATTTCCACCTCCCCATGGTGCAAAAAGAAAACAAAACTTGGCCAAGACAATTTCAACATGAGAAAAACTACAGTAGTCAAATAATAGGCTTGCTATCAATTGCAATATCAAAGTTTGAAAACTCCTAGTAGGATCGAGTCTTTATCGGGACTTGATTGGATTAACACAAATGACATATAAACCTTGAGCAGATCTTCATCCTAATATGCGTCTCACATGCAAATCTAACTCAGGAATTGAAGTACATCCATATGACTATTATAATTTGTAAAACATCTAGTTTATTTTGGAATGACTTAATTGGCATTTTTCGTGTACAATGAGGTGTATTCTCACGTAATAAACCTTGTGATTGTTTGAATCATAGTTTTGCACCACATAATGATAAAGTTTATTATTAAACTCACAAAAGATTGACAGCAACTATACTGTGGACCACACATGGATCATTGATTTATCTCTGGTTCGAAGAATATGAACATCTTTGAGTTCACGTCAATTTTGACAAGATGGAAATAAGAGAAAGTAACAATTAATTGTTTTTATATCAATTTTAATATTATTTATGGATTATTTGTTTCAGAATTTGCTAAGATTGTATCCTCTGAATCTACTTTCAGAATATCACAACACTGATATCTAAAAAATGTCTTTCTTTCTTTCTTTCAGAAACCTGGTGGAATCATTGCTCTGCTTGATGAAGCTTGGTATGAGGAATTTTCTCTATTCTTTACGGTGAATGCATTTATATTTTAAAAAAGAAATTGTTCCAGTTATAATATATTGAAGTTGCAGTAATATTGCTAGTGCTAGCAATTGATTGTTTGGGATTTCTCCACTCTCCACTATTGAATTACTCTCTAAAAGTTAAAACACAGTAATGCTCAGAAAATCATATTGCTAGACGTGAATTTTTTTTTATATAGATAACTAAAATTATATAAAGACTTTAATTATCTATATATTGTGATAGGCTTTATTAGTATTGTACGATAATTAATATATATGAGTCAGAAAATTAGAGTTCATTACTATTTGAAAACATAGTATACTAACTAATATCCTTAAAACCAGATTTTTATTCCAACTAAATCTAAATTTCAAACTTATATCTCTTATCAAACTATTTAAATTTCAAATTCTAACATTAAATATGGAATAAATTATATTATGAGAGAAATACTTACATTATGTGCACTTAGGATTTCTAACAAAAATTAGTTATTATTTTTAAAAATAAATAATACTTCATATCAATACTATAATTTAAAAAAAAAACTCACTTTGTAATTTGACAAAAATCATCAAATTTGTTTCAAAATATCTATCTTTTTCCAATAATACATTTGTCTTATCTCGGAAATATATGTCTGTACATGATTTCTTGTGACTGATAGAGTTCTTGGATTGCTAGGGTCCAACCATCATCCGGCAAAGTTTCTTCAACAGTTTGAGTCATTTTCTGAAACTAAGGTAAGGGTAGCAAGATTTCTAAGTAAGAATCAGATCATACCTCTTTCAATTCTTTTACCAATGATTTGTTTTCAGAATTATGTGAAACAAACTCAATTAATCATGCCTTGTTTTGTTCTTCAAACTGAGTAGCTTGGATCATCCGTTATGATGGTGTTTATTGTGGTGGAAATTGGTGTTTTAAAAATTAACCTGGTTAAAAAAAATATAATCTATAGCAGTTCTACGTAAAAATCATGTATATGTGCACATCTAAGTCAGTTTTGAATAAAAACCGTCTTAAATGTGCACATATACATCTAAGTCGGTTTTGAATAAAAACCGTCTTAGATGTGCACATATACATCTAAGTCAGTTTTGATAAAAACCGACTTAGATGTATGTGCACATCTAAGACAGTTTTGTGAAAACCGACTTAGATGTATTTATACATCTAAGTCGCCCTTATCTAAGTCAGTTTTAAAACCGATGTAGATATGGCAAAATAACCGACTTAGAATACAATCTTTCTAGTAGTGATTACAAGAAATATTACATATAGTGACATATAAAAAGTGTCACTATAGATATATTATATGCAAACATAAATTTATTTAACATATAGTTACACATAATGTTAGTGTTGATTTTGAATGAGATTTAACAATATATATTATGTGTCACTATAGTCTATACTTATAATTTTTAACAATATATCAACATATATTGTATCTATAGGTAAAAGTAGTTTTTAGTGACAAGTATTATATCACTATAAAGTATGTGTCAATTTTTTTTGTAGTGATATTGTTTATATGATTTTAAGGAAAGCAATATAAGAAGATAAAGCTCATTTATGAAATATGTACTTTGTGTATGTATTGAGACACTCACTTTAATTTCTATTATATTGACAAAATTAGCTTTTCTAGTTTTTATAAAAGTTGTAGCATTGAATGTTATCTTTCCAATGGCACCGGAATTATGTAAAACGAAGGTCTAGAACCCCAGTTATGGTTGTTTTAGTGAACAAAGGTCGAGCTGTAAGCACTGATTATATCAGTTGCAGTTTTTGAAATTTTTGGCTAAGTAGATGATATTTTTAGAATTTCATGTCTTCATAAGAATAGTAGCTTATTTGCTTGACTTTCTTTTGAGATAAGTTTGAGCTTAATTTGATGAGTATAACTCTCTATATGTTATTTTCTTTGACAGTTGTTGAAGGGAGATATATATTGTTATGATGTTTTGAGTTGTTATGCAATGTAGGCATGAAAACTAATTTTTTTTATGATGTTTTAAGGTGTTATCATGTGGATTAAAAAGTTGTTTGAGGTTGATTGGTGCTATGTGGTAAAGTTGGTTCATATACATGCTATATGGTGTAAATGGTGATTGATTCATATAAATGATTAGGGATGAGATATATGACTGTTTAAAAATAGGTTACAAAATGATTTGATATGAATGTATGTTGATGTGAGGATAGATGAAATTGCGAACAAATTAGCGGGTACTTGTGTGTTTAACAAGATTGATCTAGGTTGAAATATCATTGGATTAGAATGAAGGGTGAGGATATACCCAATATAACTTTTAGGAGACGTTGTGGGTACTATGAATATGTAGTAATACCTTTTGGTGTGATGAATGCTCTAACTATTTTTATGGATTATATAAATCGTATTTTTCATCCGTAATTAGATAAATTTGTAGTTGTCTTCATAAATGACAAAGTAGTTTATTCCAAGACTAGAGAGGAGCATGAGGAGCACTTGAAGGTAGTACTTCAAACTCTTAGGAATAGACAACTTTATGCTAAGTTTCCTAAGTGTGATTTTTGGTTGTATGAGGTGAGTTTTCTAGGTCCTATAATTTCTAGTGGAGGTATAACAATAAATCCATCTAAGGTAGAAGTTGTACTCGAGTGGAAGACACCTAATTCAATTATTGAGGTTAGAAGTTTCCTTGGGTTAGCTAGTTATTATAGGATATTTATAGAGGGATTTTCCAAGATAGCCTTACCTTTGACTGGATTGTCTAGGATAGAAGTTGCCTTTGTGTGTGATAGTAAATGTGAAAGTAGTTTTCAAACATTTAAGAAAAGATTGACTAGTGCACCGATGTTAGTAGTGCTTGATCATAGCAAATCTTTTGTAGTATAATGTGATGCTTCTAAGGAGGGTTTGGGTGGACGTATTAATGCAAGAAGGAAGGTGGTAGCTTATGCTTCTAGGCAATTGGAAATTAATTGGAGGAATTACCTTGCCCATGACCTTGAGTTAGTAGTTGTAATATTTACACTAAGATTTGGAGACACTACTTGTATGGTTCTAAGCTTGAGGTATTTAGTGATCATAAGAGCCTTAAATATCTTTTTGACAAAGAGGAGTCGAATATGAGACAAAAGGGGATAGTTGGAATTTCTTAAGGACTAGGATTTTGATCTTAGTTGTTATCTGGGCAAAGCCATTGTGGTGGTCGATGCTTTGAGTAAGAAATCTCTATATTTATCTTCCCTTATGAGTAGAGAGATGGATAGTTTGGCTCAAATTTGGGATTTGAGTTTAGCTTATAAGGTTACCTCTAGTATTGTGAGACTAGGTATGACTCGAGTAACTAGTGGATTGTTGAAGGAAATTGGAGAAGCACAATTAGATGATTCATTTTTTGTGGCAAAATGTGAGGCTGTGGGACAATATAGTGGAGGGAAATTTACTTTGGGTGTAGATGGAGTGGCAAAATTTAGAGATCTGGTATGTGTACCTAGCGAGCCTATGCTTAGGAGCTTGATCTTTGGAGAAGGTCATAAAAGTAAAACTAATGTTGTAGCATAGTAGTCAATCTCGGATAGCGGCGCGGAGCGGTCGACCCTAAAACTGGGATAGCGGGATGACGCGGAGCGGGATAACCGTTATTTTAATATTAATTTATATATATTAAATAATTAATAATATATACATAAAAGCTAAAAAAAACAAAAAAATAACTCTAAATTCATACATTAAACCTTTTTAATAATTAAAAGTTCATAGTACTCAAACAATACATAATATAAAATGTCTCCAAAACAAAGTAGAAAAGAAATTTTAAAAAATTGTTGAATTATATTTAATCAGAAAACAAATCTGATAAATTAAATTTAATCAAAAATTAAAAATACAATTTTCTGAAATTAAAAATAAAATTTTCTGAATTAAATTTAATCAGAAATTAAAAATAAAATCAGCTGAATTAAATTTAATCAGAAATTAAAAATAAAATTTACTGAATTAAATTTAATTAGAAATTAAAAATAAAATTTGCTGAATTAAATTTAATCAGAAACTAAAAATAAAATTTGTTGAATTAAATTTAATCAGAATTTAAAAATAAAATTTGTTGAATTAAATTTAATCAGAAATTAAAAAAATAATAATAATTTAATAAAAAATTAAAAAACAAATTATGTTGCAATGTACATAAAGGAGAGAATACTCGAAGGAGAAGACGAACTAAGCGAGGCGCGTCAGAGCTTGCGGCCACGTCGGAGCTGGAGGCGCGTCGGACCGGGAGGCGCGTCAGAGTTGGAGGTGCGTCGGAGCTGAAGGCGCGTCGGCGACGGAGGTGCGTCGGAGCCGGAGTTCGTCGGAGCTGCACGCACGATCGCCAGAGAAGAAGAAACAATCTAAGAGGGAGAGACGAGAGAGGGCTGCGACAATTGAAATCGCGAGAGGGAAAGGGAGACTTAGGGCAAAAAAAGCCCCATTGAAAAGACTGACTTACCCTTAATGAAGGGTAAGTCGAAATCGCGCCCGCGATTCCGCGATTTGTGCCGCTCCGCTCTGCCTCCGACGCGGCCGCTCCGGCCGCTACACAAATCCGCCACGCGACAGCAGCGAGATTGCGGGGTGAGGCCGCTCCACTCCGGAGCGTCCCGATAGCGGCCGCTCCGGCCGCTATTGACTACTATGTGTTGTAGTAGATGCCTTGAGAAGGATGACCTTTCATCTATCATCTTTGAGGATTAAAAAGTTGGATTTGATGAGGAGTTTAGAGATTTAAGCTTGGTGTGTGAGCTTACCCCTAGGAGCATTAGATTGGATATGTTGGAGGTGACTAGTAAATTGTGAGATGAGGTTAGAGGAGCCTAGGATTTAGATCCTTTCTTAGTAAACCAAGTGGAGAGGATTGGTAGGGCTATAAATAGCCTTTTTGGAGGAGTTAATGGTATTCAAAGGTTCAAGGATAGAATCTGTAAGCCTAGTAATCATGAATTTAAGAAGATGATCTTAGAAGAAGGACATGGGAGTACTCTTAGTATTCACCCAGGAATTACTATGATGTATCGAGACCTTAGAAAAATGATCTGTTGGCCAAGATGATGAGAGAGGTAGAAAAGTTTGTATACTTATGTTTAGTATGCTAGAAGTCTAAGGTAGAACATCAGAAGCCTTTAGGACTTTTGCAACCTTTAGATGTTCCTATTTGGAAGTGGTATAGTGGGTCTATGGACCTTGTTGTAGGTTTGCCTAGGATGTTTAGGATGTTTGATTCTATTTAGGTTATGGTGGATAGACTCACCAAGTATTCTCACTTTATCTCTGTTAACATTAGTTATTCCTTGGAGAGATCAACAATTGTACATGAGTGAGATAGTAAGGTTACGTGAGATTTTCTCTAGTATAGTTTTAGATATAGACCCTAAGTTTACTTCCATATTTTCAAAGATTCATCATAAAACCTTGGGTATGAAACTTAGGGTGAGTTCGGCTTACCACCCATAGATTGATGGTCAAACCGAGAGAACCATAACATCTTTGAGGATTGAGGACATGAGGGTGAAACAATTGATAGGAAAGGATGTCCCCTTGGTCAAGATGATTTGGGGAGGAACGATGTCTGAAAGTGCTACTTGGGAGTTGGAAAAAAGATGAAGAAGTCGTATTTAGACCTCTTCATTTTGAAAATTCGGGGACGAATTTCTTAAAAAGGGGGTGGGAATTGTAGCACCCCATTTTTCAAAATACTATTATTATTATTATTATTATTATTATTATATAGTATTTGGTCAATATTATTTTATTATTATAAGGTAATATTATTTTGTACATTTTAAATAATTATTTTGTACGTATTAAATAAGTATTTTTATTAGCATTTTAAATAATTACTTATATGTTTTAAGGGATAACTTGGGAGTTGATGAATTATATATTTTATTTTAAAATCTAAAAGGTTAATTTTATAGGATATTTTAATATTAAAATTATATTATTATATTTTGGGTTAGAAATATATTATTATTATTATTATTATTATTATAGAGAAAAAAATATTTTATATTGTATATGTATTTATTTTATTTAATTATTTTCGGGAAAAGAGAAGGAAGAGAAGGAAGATGGGTTGGGTTGACCTAACCTAGTGGATTATTTTAAGAAAGGGGTCAACTATAGTTAACCCTATCTGTCTCATTTGCATTCTAAAGGGTTAGAAAAGAAAGAGAGGAGAAACAAAGAGCTTTGAGAAGGAGTACCCAAGAAGAGATCAAGAACAAATTCTCCTACATCAGAGTTATTTGAGTTTACAGAACCAGGTACGAGGGAAAAATGGTTTATTTATATCCAAAGTCACATGAAGGATTGGGTAGAGGAGGAATTTCGTAGGACTATTGGTAAATTTACAATTATTTATGTTTGAAGAATTGACAATTTCATTAAATTCTATGTATTTTGAGGATTAGGAATATGTAAAAAATTAGCAAAGATGATGATTTGGGAGAGAGAACGAAATTGTAGAAAAGTGTCTGTGAGTTATATTTTGAAAAAATTGAGAGTTTTACTATTTAAGTTAAAATTTTATAAAATTGATAATTCAATCGGGTTTTATATTGATTTATAAATGTGATTGTTATATTATTTGGTAAAATTGATGATCTAGATGATAATTGGATTTATTGGGATGTGCTCTATAAGTTAGGGTTCTTGTACATTGATGAATGCCCTTAATTATACGAATTAATGAGTAATTGAGAGATTTTACTTATGTAATTTTGTAATTAATGAGTAATTTTGGGGAAAAGAGAAGGAAGAGAAGGAAGATGGGTTGGGTTGACCTAACCCAGTGGGTTATTTTAAGAAAGGGGTCAACTACAGTTAACCCTATTTGTCTCATTTGCATTCTAAGGGGTTAGAAAAGAAATAGAGGAGAAACAAAGAGCTTTGAGAAGGAGTACCCAAGAAGAAATCAGGAACAAATTCTCCTACATCAGAGTTATTTGAATTTACGGAACCAGGTACGGGGAAAAAGGGTTTATTTATATGCAAAGTCACATGAGGGATTGGGTAGAGGAGGAATTTCATAGGGCTATTGGTAAATTTGCAATTATTTTTGTTTAAAGAGTTGATGATTTCATTAAATTTTATGTATTTTGAGGATTAGGAATATGCAAACAATTAGCAAAGATGATGATTTAGGAGAGAGAACGAAATTATAGAAAGTGTTTGTGAGTTAGATTTTAGAAAAATTGAGGGTTTTACTATTTGAGCTAAGATTCTATAAAATTGATGATTCAACCGGGTTTTATATTGATTTATGAATGTGGTTGTTATATTATTTGGTAAAATTGATGATCTAGATGATAATTGGATTTATTTGGATGTTCTCTATAAGTTAGAGTTCTTCTACATTGATGAACGCCCTTAATTATATGATTTAATGAGTAATTGAGATATTTTACTTATGAATGTACCTTAGTAATTTTGTAATATCTTTTTGTTTGATTAACCAAATCAATTTTCGTTTGTTGGGTTAGAAAGTAGACACTTGGGGATATAATTTAAACTCTATAATTGTGTAAAAATGTTAAGAATTGATTGAGTTATGTAAGTTATAAGTTTAATTTCCATTCTAGTTCGTGAAATATTAAGTTTTCTGTTGTCAGCCATGCGAGGTGACCTTAATGACATTTTTAGGCTTCGTATTCTTCACAAAAGTTATAGATTTTTGTGTTATCTTTCTAATGGCTTTGGAATTAATCAAAAAGAATGTGTATAACTCAAGTTATGTTCACAATAGTGAGTAGAGGTTAAGCAGTCAGGATTTATGGTGCACGAAGTGGGTATTCTATTTTAGTTTGCGTTTTTAATATTTTGAGACCCCCTTTTTGGAATGTTTGTCATACTTTATGATTTCTTAGTGATGCTTTATAATACTTATGATATGATTGAAAGAGTTTAATGTGGGATTGTGAAATATAGTATTATATTGATGGACTTTGATAATGGTTGTTAATCGTATGATGTCCAGTAATGACTATTGTATGAAGAGATACCAAGGGTGTGTGTTGGATGGAATGTAAATTAATTATGAATTAAATATGTGTATGAGTTATTATAGAAATGTTGGTTGTGCATGTGATGTGGAATTGAATTGTGAATTGTGATGTGATGATTGGGCATAGTCGTATGCGTGACATCGAGTCGTAAGGGCGTGCACGTGATATAGTGCTATTTATGTGTTGTTGTAGGCATGGTCGTATGCATGATGCAGTACTAGATGTGTGATGCGTCGGTACAGTCGTATGCGTGATATCGGTGTCGGTAGTGGAATGCATTGACACAGTCATGTGTGTACATGATGTTGGGCGTGTGATGCGACAGCGAAGGTGTGTATGCGATACAGTGATGGATGTGTGACATAGTGTATATGTCCAATTTTCTTATATGTACATATGTGGATTGTGCTGAGATGATGAAATATGTGGATTGTGATGAGATGATGGAATATGTGGGATTTGAGAAATGATGTTGAACATGTTTGAATGATGAATGTTGTGTTTATGGATTATATTGCTTTGAGATTACTTTGTGGAATTTCATGATATATTTTTTATATAAATATTTTTTTCTCACCGTATGTTTGTGGTTATTTTTAGGTGAGGAAGATGTGGACATAAGTGGCATTCAAGGTGCCAATAATTGAGTCATGGGAGCACTCTGATAGTGTGACATCGGGGCAAGGGTCTTCTAGGACTTTAATTTTTATTGTAATTGGAGTTTTTACATTTCCTTTGAAACTATTTATGAACTTATTTGCTTTCTAAACTTTATTTTAAGTTGATCGGATATTGATAATGTATTTTCTTTTGGATATGTGAACCATTTTACCTATGTTAAATTGATATTTTTTTTAATTTACTTTATTATGTATATTGGGGTAGAATGGGTGTCCATTAAGTTTAGCTTGACAAGGTGTATTTTATTTTTCAAATATGCTACTAATGCATATGAGGGATTCTCAATATTTTGTAGTTACAAATTGATAGATCTTTATGAAGATTGAATTCTCCTAATTGTTGAACGTTGAACTCATGAATTTTGCCTATATAAAATGAACTAAATATTTGAAGATTCTTCAATTTTCCCAAATGCACTAGAATCTTTCTTATAGAAGTATGCATAAATTCAAGGGGCCACAATTCGGTGAGTCTTCCAAATTCGAGGAAAGTTCCTCTAAAGATATATAATTGTTTAGGTTCAATATTTTCAAGTTATAGAGTGAACATGTTGAGTTTGTTAATAATTTCTTTATCCTAGTATATGAAAGGTCCAAGGAACGAAGATGGTCAATAACACCACTAAAGTTAGGTACCTCTGTAAGGCTACAACAACCAGATAAGGATAAGACATGCAAAAACTTAAACTTGGAGAAGAACTCGTGTATCGACATCTTGAAATTTCAACTAGTGAAAGGATAATCCATTATACTACTTGTTGGAATAAATGTATGTAATCTTTTAGTATCATATAAACTCCAAAACCCATCAAAATATTGAATGTGTTTCACTACAAATGAAAAATAATGGGTTTTTATTAGTATATTTTTTTCTTTATCATCATCTTCCAACCTAAAACACCTGTCCCTACAAATATATTTTTCCAAATCGTTAACAAACACTTCATATTTTCTTTTTTGTTCAAATAAAGACTTTGATAAAAGATCATTGAAGTATTGTTCACTCACTTTGTTGGAGAAAAAAATACACACCAAAATGGGGTTGAATTGTGTATATCAAAAACTTGCATTTTTTGCAATGAAGTAGTAAAAGCTATAATAGACGAAATACTGGAAATCAACATACGAAGTGACCCAAGTGTTTTATACTGGTTCATCTCAAGCACCGTCTAATTTTTAATCCAACCAGATTGAGTTTCACTATCTTGTACAAGATACAAGTATTCTTTCACAAGTCACTTCTAGCTCAACACCAAGTACTCTTTCAACAAGCCTCTCCAGGCTCAAACCCAAGTATTATTTCAACACACCACTTCAGGCTCAAACCCAAGCATTCTTTCAACAAGCCTCTTCAACCTCAACACTAAGTATTCTTTTACACAAGTCTCATCAGGCTCAACCATTACAAATAATTTTGATAAGAATTACAAGGATAGCTTCGTCTCTTCTAGACGTGATGCTATAAAAATACAGCACAAATAAACTACAAAGAACTATATATGAGATTTACAATGAAGATCTTCTCTGAGTGTTTCAACTTTGTTCTTAAAGCGTTTAATCAATTTGAACTGCTTAGTGAATGTTGAACTTTTTATGTACATTGCTTTTTCTTCTTATGAGTATTTTGAGATTATCACCTTTTGTAGTATGATGGTTTGATCCTTATATAGTAGTTTCAAAGAAGATGACCATTGTAGTAACGTTGGATTTAAACGTTCAAAAAATTCTTCATAGGTTGCTTTGTCTATCTTCTTTGTTGATCCTAGAGATTACTGTTGATGCATTTGATGCGAGCATTAAATGCTTATCAGTAAAATGTGCATCTCTTATCTAATTCAGGAAGCTACTTATCATCATTTCCTTTCATTTTAAGTGTAGTAAAGAAGTGTCAGTGTAGAGTAGTTGGAGCTGGTGTAGAGCAATCTTTTTCAGTACCTTTTTCGTGATATTTAGGATCTTGCTTTTTGGCTTTTCACAGACATTTTGTCTTGTTCCTCTTTAATTCACTTCGAGAGTTTTGAAAAATTCCTTTTTGTTCAATCTGTTGAGGAATAATATATTAAAAGAAGTTATAATGTTAATCTTGAATAATAGTGCTCATTTGATGTCATTAGACAGACTATATGTTTCGTTTGATTTCTTTCATCTTACAAATAATATGTATTTTCTTCACATTTCATATGATATGTTCTATCTTTAAAGAATGCTGACTTTTGCTTAAAGAAAATTTTGTTTGTCATCATTAATACTTAAAGGATTGTTTGTTGTCTTAAAGCAGGATTTTTGATTTAACACACTTCTATTGTACTCTTACTATTTTGAGTGAACTATACAAGATTCTCAGCCATCCATAATAGTACTAAAGAAATTTTAGCAAACTCATAATCTTAGGGGAACAAGGCACAATCAGCAAAGCATCGCTTGAGATGAGAAGGGAGGTAATGATAACTCAAAAATAAAGTAGGAATGATTTCACTTTCTTCTTTCAGTAAGTCCCATATCTTGCTTGTCAATACACTTTTCCATTATCAAATAGATGACTTTGTTTGTAGAAAATTCCAATTTCTTTCAAGGCAAGAGGCAATCCATTAAACTTTTCAACTATCTTTATACCAACCTCATTCAATTTAGTATTTAACTGAGAATTACACTTGGGAAAGCATGTTTGGCAAAAACTTGCTAGCAAAGATCTTCTTTTAATTTCTCTAGGTGATATACTTTATTAGATCACATGGTAGAAATAACTTTCTTACCACATGTTGTGACGAGAATTATACTTCCCCAAGCCTTATAAATAATAGGAGTTTCCATAAATTCCCATTTCTCTTGCCTTTCATTCCAAGCATCATCTAAAACAATAAGAAAACTCTTTCCTAACAACTTTTCTTTCAATCTTCCATTAGCCATTTCTAGGTCTCCACCATCATCTTTTGATTTAGTAATTGCCTTAAGAATAGCTCTTGCAAATGTCAAAACATCAAAATCATTTGAAACACAAACCCGAGCTTTGATATGAAATTTAACTTCCTTCATCTTTGGGTCATTGTATACACAATGTTGGACAAGTTTAGTCTTACCCATCCCGTCTATACCCACAATAGAAAGTATTGATAATTGGTCACAATTGTAATGTCAAATGTTAGCCAATTGAAAAGGTGTCTTTTTGTCATCATCCATGCCATAAATAACACTTTCAACCACCAAAGATGTTGATGGGAATTTTGTGACACTTTATTGCCTAAAAATGACCCAATCCAAACACCTATAGCCTCATTCAAACCTAGATCGCCCTTTTGGATTGAGAGAAAATCTTGACTACCAAGGACTTGTTTCATCCTTGATTCAATTTCCTATCAAAGGTACTAGCAAAAGAAGTATTAAAGAAAATAGTGGAATTTTCTTTAATAGAAAGTTACCACGATACTCATTGTAATTTTCTTTAATCCTTGACCAAAAATTAACCATGATTGGATCCCCACAATTGTACCTTTTAGTTTACCCCCACAATTGGATCCTTTGAAATATTTAACCATGATTGGATGAGAAGTTTATCTTCCTCCGTGTTGAACGTTGATATTTTTTGTTTATGAGTTAACTCCTCTTTCTCTTGTTCATCAAATGTAACATTATCCAACCCAATTTAAGTTGAAAATAGTGAGACTTAAGATTCAAATGCAAACTCAAATGGTGTTTCTAGATCTCTTTCACAAGATTAACCTTCACTGGTACCTATTGAAGTGCCATGATCCATTGTGGGGTTAATTGGTGGTGATTGAAACATGGGTTATCCATATGAAAATGAGAATGGAAACTGAAAATTGTTTATATTTGTGTTATTTTGTGATTCTAGTAAATGTGGATAATTTTGAGAATTTGGATTAATGGGAGGTTGAGATTTGACATGAAATTAAAACAGGGATTGAATTGGTTTTGATTTAGTTGCATTAAGTGAAAACAAATCAAAGAGATAATTGAGAGTAGATAAAATTGGCTTAAGAAGCAAATTTAAAAGATAAAAAAGTCGAAGAAAAGAAGAAAAATTAGGAAGTTTATGAGTAAAAAATATATAATGAATTCTATTTATACAAGTATTAATAGATAAAATTATATTAAAAAATAATTTTATAACATTATAATAAATATACGTCATGTCAATAATGTTAATTTTAGCATTAATAAATGTTGTACTAGATTTTATAATATTTTATTATATAAATTTAATTTTTGATTAAAAAATTGAAGTACATCCATTCATCCATAAGCCCTTGCCACTTAAATAAAATTACTCAACAATAGAAGATCTTATACAATTAGATCTTCTGAAGAACCAACGAGATCTTAGCCTCCGCATTATAGATACCCTAAGTAAGCTAGGGTTAAATCAAACTTCCCAAAAATGTCAAATCAAATCTATAAATACTATAACTAATAACAAGTCAAGCTAATTTAAGCAAAGTCTTGTTTAACCAAACTCATTGCTAAATTTCAAAAGCACCTTAAACACATTTCTTATTCATAAACGCATGATGCACCGTGATCTCCTCAACTATGATAAATAAAGATTTTATTTCAAATTCATAGTAAATAACGAAATAAAAATTACAACAAAAAAAAAATTAAACCGACATGTAGAAAAACAAATAATCTAAAATAAGATTAAAAAGAGTCCCACTAGTTCCTAACTTGATAACAAGTGTTACCTTACATGATAAAAAGAAATCCATTTTAATTTTTTTATAATTTTTAATTGCCGTTAAACTAAAAAAGACTAAAGTAGACATCGTTATACTAATGATTGATGCTATGTAAAATAAAAAACTAACCGAGAATATTTTAAATCTCAAAAAACTAAAATGTTCAGCTAATACAATCTGAGGGAATTACGTTACAAACTTAAATAGCATTTTAGCATGACAATTGTCAGAGTTTATAGTAAATTGATATTCATTTTTCACCCAAAAAAAATAATACCAACTTACATGCTTTAAGCTTTGAGAGCGTAACTTTAGTATCAAAAGTATGATTTTCTTGGAAGAGTTTCGCCCATTTCCTATTCAAGTGATAGCAACTGTGAAAATAAAATTAAAATGTGCTGAAAGAGGGGCAATTGAATTTTCTCATCAGAAAAGATCTCATTTGCAGAAAGGGCTAAAAGTTAGGAGGTAATAAGATGAAATATTATCTTCTCGTCACAACATTTTATTCATGTGGCGACGGTTTTGATCCAACTTGGATACTTAGAAATTGGTAGTGTTTGAATAAACTTCAATGTAAATATTTGAAAAAGAAAAGAAAATAAGAAAGCAAAGCTAAATGTTTTTTTTGCATAACCTAAAATTCATTTACTTTTGGGAATGAGCTAAAATTAATTGAGTTTAATTGGTAGTAAGTCATACACTATCAATGTAACAAGTTTTATATTGTCAACCAATTAAGAATTCATGCCTCGTTATTGTAAAATCTACGAATACACAATGATTAGTAATTGAATAAGAATGTAAAATTATTTTACATTAACAATGCAGTCTTAATTCTCAAATTAACGTGTTTAAACTAATTTATAAAAATTCTCTTATTTAGTTTTACAAAAAATTGATTTTAACTTGTGTATACATTTCTATCCAAATATAACTTATGTATACATTAATTTTAAATTATGAGAAAAATTCATTTCATTTATATTTTATTTTCTTATTCTATTAAGTATTTTGGAGATATTTATTCAAACAAGACTCAAAACTCAACAAACACAAAAAACCAATAACATAAAAGTCCTATATTGAACAAATGTCTTAAAAATATCTTAGCTGCCCTCAAAACATCTCAGAAAATAGTCACGCATATAGATCAATCTATTGTACGTAGATAAATGAGGAAAGAAATTTGGATTTGGACCCCAAAACCGATGAAAGGCTAAGAGGTTTTCTTGGGAGGTGCCATGTTTAAAAGAAGGGAAACAATTGCTTTAATGGTACAAAGCTTGAGCACAGATAAGGCGACAGTATATAACAGCAATCCTGCAAAAAGGTAAAGCCCATTTACTACTACAGATACAAATAATCAACTTAAGACACTAATTTGCACAACATGAACAACATATTTAGAATTTAGAAAGAGAACTTGCCAGTTTGAAGGGCCGATAAATCATTAACATCAAACTTTCCTGTTCTCCATAATTTAGAATCCTGGATAGCCTACATAAGAGTTCCATGCAATAATAAGAGTATTTAGAAAGAGAACACTCAACTTCCAAGTTCCAACCATATACTTATGTAACAATATACTTATGCATGCACATAACTATATTACAAACAAAGGCAATAAAACCTGTGATGGAACTATAATACTTTCATAACTTGTAGAGCCCAGTGCAGTACATTTATTGTATTGAGGAAATCCTCTGTAATACAATTGCAAGTTTATGGTTCGATAACATTTAAGTCATACACCTTTTGTGGGATTATTGATCTGAAGTGGAGGGGGAAAAGAAATAATACAAAAGGGAAAAAAAATATTAAACGCAGGAATTTGCTACAAAAATAAAGTTCAAACACCCGTTTTGTCTCTGGTGAAGAAGACAAGAGGCTTAAAAAAAAAAAACGCGCATGAGACCTTCTTGGGAAGACCCTCATTAGTCAAATTTTAAAAGGTGTAGCTACCAAGTAACTTTCTGTTAGAAGGGAAACTTAAACCAAACCCCCACAAGTTAATAAACACCAACATTTGAAGTGCTGATTGAGCACAACTGGTGTGAATCCCCATGAAATGATGAAGATGACTAATATTAAATACAAATAAGTATCATGAACCAAAACACAAAAATGAAAATTATAGTATTGATTGTCATTAGTTCCTGACTTCAAGAATTTAGATTCACATCAGATGTTTACTTATTAGCTACAATGTTTCTCATGATAGTTTACAAAATTTTTCTAATAAAATCTCCTGTCAAACACCAACATATTTACCTTCAACAGCAAATGATGCTTAGCAAGAGAAGCAATCAAGAGAAGCATTGCAATAGATGATACAACAGCATAAAATCTCAATAAACCGGACCGGCTTCGGGTTCGACCTATTCACAAAATTGAGAAGAGCTTGCTTATAAGAATTTTCAAATAAAAAATCCAATATAACAAATGAAAGTAAAGAAATCCGGGTTTAGGCATTTAGCAACCTATATTTGCAATGATTAGTGAAACAACACTAACAATAACAGATGTATAGGCAACTGTATTTGGAGAATCCGCATCTGTTCCTGGTAAATATGCAAATACGGCTCCTATTAACAGCAACACAGCCTGCAGGAAACAATTCAAAATTTCAAATTATAATGTATATTAGATAAAACCAAAGATGTCAACAGTTAGAGAATAAAGAGTATAATTCAGCATTTATAAGCATGGACTCTCATTAGCTAAAGAAATTATATTACATGGCTTTGAACTAGCATTTATAATCAAAACTTCCAAGGATTATTGGAAAAATAAAATGCTTCAATTTTTTAATACTCGGTTAGTAGTTTTTTCATTGCTAGATACTAGAACATAGTTTCATAAATCTGTCATCATTCATTTGGTTAGAGGTGAAGAAGCTATTTCACTTCAATAATATTAATGTGTCCTATGTTCTCCATACTTGCACAGAATTTGTAACTACTACTAGTTGTCTGTGCAGACTGCAGAGTTGTTTTTATAATCTAGACTTTGTGAGAATATGTGAGGGAACTTGGCTATAGAAGATGCAATTACATGGTCCTTTTGTTCCTAGTGTCTTAAGACACTCGACCATGGTACAATCTTCTCGTTAAGACCCAGTGCAAGAATCTTGGGACATTTTGAAACAATTGAGGATGGCTCCTTTCTTGAATGGCAATGTTGTCAGATACTCCCAATTTTCATTTGCTCTTTCCTGATGAACAATCTCAAGGCACCTGCACTTTCTGAACATTCGTTGTATGCTGCTATCATCAAACCCTCTATCCTAGAAACAACCTCATCATGCTAGTGCTGTTATGGCCGTTAGTGATTTGCATATTATTCTAAAAATACTTTTCAAAAGAATGAATATAAGAAACATATTTAGCTTATATTTGCAAATACCATGTTCAGTATGGTTCTAGTTAAAGAACAATATTTGTATACAAAAGTCATTGGAAACTCATAACATCAAGTAACACATGAACACTCAAAATTTTGTTCTGCAGTTAAGTGTTGGATCAGAGCAAGTCCTGAGATTGTTAAACAGAATTTCAAAGGCCAACACAGGATAAAATTTGAAAGATAGAATCTACAAATTCTATGTTTTCACATTGCTTTGCTCCTTGCAAAATGATTTAATCTTTGCTGTCATCTTGGGCTATTCTCTCGGAAGCACGGATACGCCAATTTCTATCCCGTATCCGTATCGGATATGTATCCGATACGGATACGTTTTGATACGCCTAGGATACGTATCTCAAACGTATCTAGAATGATTTTGTTAAAAAAAGAAAAAAAGAAAAAATATTTTTGCAGATTTATTGTTATACGATTCCATTGATCAAAAATCAACCATAAATAAGCAGGAAAATTAAGAAATTTGAGACGAAGAATACAGAGATGTGTTGATGTGTTGCGCTGCCAAACACCAGAGTTTCCGAGCACCAGACCCAGTCAAACACTAGAGTTTCCAAGCAGCGAGCACCAGACCCACTCATCCAGGTAAAAATCATCACTCCGTTTCTTCATTATTCTTCCCCGCAGTGAGTGAGAAGGGGACTGGGCAGTGAGTGAGTCCCGCGTCTTCGCGCAGTGAGTCTCTTCTGCAGCGTGTATGTCTTTTGCGGGGACAGGCAGTGGGCACCTTTTTCTTTTTTGAATGACAAGGTTTTTATTTTCTTTATATTTAAATTGTAAAAGGGGTTAATATAAAATTATAATTTTATGATGATTTTATAATCATTAAAAATATAATTATTCTTGCATCTTTACACATTTAGAATAATCACTTATTGTTTTTTTTAATTTAATTTTATGATTTATTTAAAAAGTTTTTAACTTTATGTAAATTGTAAATTAATAATAATTATAATTTTTTAATTCTTTTTTAGCATCTCTAAAATAGTAAAATGTATAAAAAAATTGTAACAATTAGCAATTTAACATAGATATACTTTTTTTATAGTTTATACTTTTATGATTTAGAGTGATTAAAATTTTTAAGTTGTATAATTTATTTAACAATTAGCAATTTAACATAGATATATTTTTTTTTTGCAGAAGCATAAAAATTATTTATTTATAATGTCAACAGCAAATGCTTCTGGTTCTGATTCTAATATCAATTCTAAAATTCCAAGTAAGTTCGTTTCTGATGATGTTGTACAAGATGATCATGCTCCTCTTTGGTGTTATGTTAGCATATTAGATAAAAATTCAGAAAGGGGAGGAAATAAGAGTTGGTCTTGTAATTTTTGTCAAAAGGTTTATAGAAGTTCTTATTCAAGAGTTAAAGCTCATTTGTTGAGGATTTATGGAACTGGAATTTCTGTGTGTGCAAGTGTAAATGATCAATATTTGGTTGAATTGAAATCAATTGTTGAATTGGCTGAAAATAAAGTGAAAGCTAAGCATGTCCCATTGCCTACAGAGAAAATGCATCAGAGTTCTTTATTGAAAAAGAGAAAAGTTGGTCCTTTGGAGAAAGCATTTAATTTAGAAAATAGAGATAATCTCAAAGCTCTTATTGCTAGAATGTTTTATTCTTCTGGATTGCCCTTCAACCTTGCCAGAAATCCCTATTATGTGAATTCTTATTCATTTGTTGCAAATCACATGCTTAATGGTTTTCTCCCTCCTGGATACAATGCCTTGAGGACAACTCTCTTACAACAAGACAAGGCACATGTTGAGAGGTTGCTTAAACCTATTAAATCTACTTGGAATGCAAAAGGTGTTAGCATAGTATATGATGGATGGAGGTCGAATTAGAGGCCATTTGTGTTGGGTGCTCTGACAGGATGGGTGATGGCTTTTGCTCCCAACACCGACAGTGGGGGTACTCACAAAGAAACTCTAACACTCAAGTTAGAAGGGGTCTAAATGGTAGAGTATTGGGTGAATTAGAATGATACCTAACTTCCTTATATAAGTGAATGAATCTTATCATTGAGCAAGGTATATTTTGCAACAGATAGTTGGTTATAAAGATAATAGGATGGTTACCTATCAACTGTGTGGTGATGGACATTTAATTTGTTACCAATCCGAGATCCTAAAAGATAGCTAATAGGAGGTTATTGTCACCACTTAAGGTAAAAGATAGCTTTTTTCGATTTGAAGGGAGAGCTCAAGATATAGGCTAATGTGCATTATCATTTTGGAAAAGGGTAGGAGAAAGAATTTGAAGGCAAAGAAAAGACAGAGACAAAGAACTAATATTTAAACTTTTATTTACTTGAATATTATTTCATCTACAAATATGTCTCATTTTTTTAGTCTTATAAATTTACCTTTATTTTATTTTTAATTTTTGTAAATTAGTGATGATATGTCATTCTTGCTGACGTGACTCAAAATGCTCTAAATGATCTTCGATGACTTCTTTTCATTGATGCCATAAGAATTTGTGTCTTGAGATTATAATTTATTATTTTCCCTTTTTTCAATTTTTTTCTCCCTTTATTTTCCATTTATAAAAAAATAATCTTATTCAAAAAATAAATTAAATATGATGTTTTAATAAGTAAGGATGAAAATAATTTATGCTTTGACTAATATAAAAAGTAAAACTTCTAAAATTTTTGAAAGATAAATTTGTATTTTATTCAAGCCTTTATTTCAAAATGTGTTTTCAAGTAAATAAGTTATCACCATTGTGACACCCATCTACCTCCAAGTATGATACCGATTAAAAGATAAAAATATAGCTTTAAAATTATCATAAGTAGTTCATAAATCTCCTTTGAATCTCACATAAACAGAAAAATATAAAGTCAAACTAGTTCATCAAAAGGTAAGTAAATGGAGTAGTGATAAACAATTACAATTCAAACTTTTGAAACTAAAACGAAGAAAATAACAAAATCCCTAACTACTTTAATCTTCAGTGTCACATTAGCATCAAAGTTACACACACCTAGGCTTCCCTTTGCTCCTCTCAAAGCTGAGGGTCCTCGTCTGCAAAACATACAAAACATGCTAACAACAAACAAGGAGTGAGAACAATCTCACTGTATAGGGAATGAGCCGTAACCCTCGACATCCCATCTCTTCGTGATAAACAATTAGGATGATAATAATTCATACTTCGAACTATAGAAATCACAATTCATACTTCAAACCATAATAGCAACAATTCGTATACTTCAACTTCAATAACAATATCATTCATCTCATTCACAACACACACATAAATGTAATGCAATGTGCTCGTATGTCTAAATGCAGGCGATACCTACCCATCATCATCGTAAATATATAGTTGGTACCTAAGTCCCGAGTTAACCTTAGGCTACCAACACACCAGTGTTCCCACTAGAACACCAACAGGTTCCCACCATAACCACAAAAATAGGTTTCCACCATAACCACAAATATGCAAGTATGATGCATGTCACCATCATGCAAATGCTTATATACTATCACACCATGATCATCGTTCACCAACATCTATGTCTATCCACATCAAATATTTTCAAAATTTGACGTATCGCCGTATCGTATCCGATAGGCGTATCGTATCCGTGCATCATAAGTTATTCTGGTCCTGGTACTCATTTCCCTTTCTGCCCAAGTCTGGTAGCAATATCCACAGATATTGGCACGTGATAGATACATTAGTTTGGTTGAACTGTGGCTCAGCAGTTTGATTCACTGATACTGGTCAGGGTGGTTGTGCATGTTGGTGTATCAGTGGCTGTTTGCAGACACTGTCAAGAGTTGGTGGGTTTTAGTGGGCAATTCTATTCCTTTTTTAGAATAATAATTAATTTGTTAATTTTATGGGGAAAAAAAAAGATAAACTTTCCATCAAAATAGCAAAAATAGTTAGTACCAAATAGTAGAGTGGTTACACATTTACACTAAACTTGTCTAAAATATTCCATTAAAAACTCCTCAACCTATTCCATTGAAAAATACTCGCATGAATATGGGTGGCAATGAACCAAACTAACTCAAAAATAGTTTGAAACTTGATTCGATAATTAACTCGTTGAACTTAGTTCAATAACTAAATCAACTAAGCTTGATCTCGATAAATAAATGAACCAAACTTGAGTAGTTGCACACAGTTTGGCTCATTTGGTTCAAGAATCAGC